CTGTTACAAGGCTACGATCTGTTTGTGTACAGCGACAAACTACAAAGGCTGCGACTTCATGGACCGACGCCAAAAAACCTTAGTTGGACAAGATATGCCCAAAATTTTATCTTGCATCTTCTTGGAGATTTAGTGGGGATGAAAAAGTGTTCCGCGCAGACAATACCGGCTTGGATAAATTTCTTGGTTCGAGCATTACAGAAGCAATCTGTTGTAAGTTTTCATTTAAATTCATTTGAATTAAATTTAAATTAAGCACTTAATCTAGTTTTCATTTTATAGTTTCTTGAAACTAACGGTGAATTTGAAGTATTAGACTCCATTTGTTTTTTTGCTAGCTAAAATGGCTGCCTTGTGCGCGTTTATTCAGAATAGAGGGCCATTCAGTCATTTTTGCGTAAACACAGTGCAAAAAATGGCAAATAATCTTACCAGGCTAGCGTCACAGGCCCCCCTCTCAGAAAAATTTCGTTTTTTGCAGGATTGTAGAGTAACACTAGGGTATGCTTAAAAAAATAGTTTCATCTGCCATGGTCAGTAGGGCGTGGCCAAACAGAATTCAGAAGTTATAAACTTGCTATGTTACAGCCTATGGCCAGTGCATTGCTTCGTACTTTAAGCACATTTACGAATTAATACGAACCACTTGAATGCGCTATCGTATGAGGCCTATGTGTGTCCAATATTCTCCGTTAACCGTTTTTGTTTCTGAAGCGGCCTGTACGTGGTAATTAACAATACTTTGTAAGAGCTAGATTAGCAGGTGTAAATACTTTCATTTCGATTCGCGCTATCAGTTTTTATCACATAACCCTAGCAGCCTAGCACGAAAACCGAGGTAATGAGGACCTACAGATCATCTCTAAACTTAAAAATAAATAACTGTCATCTACTAGCCCGTTTCAGAAACGGGAAGCCGAGAACATTTAGCGCACATAAGCCTCGTACGATACCACGTGAAGTGGTTTGTATTAAATCGTAAATGTGCTTAAATTACGAAGCAATGCATTGGCCATAGGCTATAACATAGCAAATTTTAAACTTCTAAATTCTGTTTGGCCACGCTCTACTAACCATGGCAGATGAAACTATTTTTTTAAGCATACCCTAGTGTTACTCTGCAATCCTGCAAAAAACGAAATTTTTCTGAGAGGGGGGCCGGTGACGCTGCCCTGGTTAGAATAATGAAAATTTTGTTTTGCAGTGCATGTGGAAAAAAGCTTCAAAGTGACCATCAACTTAATGGAGTTTAAATCGGCAATGAATACTGCGTTCCGAATGATGTATAGACGAAAATGCCAACAGGCACTGCCCGCAGCCGCATCCGAGGAGACTGCCTGATGCAGATCGCTAATGATGAGCTAGCTGAGTTAGTTTTTAAAATGTTTGTTCAGTCTTCTGCTACAAATTGGCTGTTCTGTTAAAATCCGCATAATTAACAGTATTAATGTTTGTTTATTTTCCTGGTTATTTACTGTGATAATAACTGATCTTTCTGAATAATGTTTCTTTCATGTTTGTAGATATCTTTGCATGCTGAGTAGTGTACAGCTTCTGTTACTACCATTTTTTCTATTGTTTTTGGTAATATTATTGTTTACTTGCTATTTTGCATTACTACTATGTTTTGCAGCAACAAAAAATTGTTATTGGTGTGATCTTCAATTAGCGCTTGTTAATCATCCCTGTTGCCGTCAAAGATAATAAAGTTATTAATGATATTATATGTGTGGGTGTTCCGGTGCAACGGCTCCCTGTGCGATTTCATCAAGGCCTACGTGTTCGCTTGTTGTAGCGGGAAACAACTCAATTAGCTTCACGACCTTGCCCACTTTGAGTCAAAGCTGTGTTTAAAGCTGTGCTAGTTTATGCCAGTTGTGAGGAGCCATGTCTTGGTCATGTTAATCAGTCCAATGCAGAAATCATAATATGCCGTCTAACAGGGGGTGATACTGCGGTGAGCTCAGTGCTCTGCATTAGGCATCTTTGCAACACTGAGAGACAGCTACTGAGTATTGGTTGGTTGTGATGCCAGTTTGAGCTGCTCACTGACCACGTAGTGTCACTGCAGTTTAAGATACAGAACCTCCTAAGTGAACTCGTTGTCGCTTTGCGAATATGGGATTTCTAAATAACTTCACGAAGATGTTAGGCTCACAGGCAGTTGGTCTACGAGCTCACGTATTTTACATGGGACAGCAGTGCAGTGCTCGCTGGACAACGAAGTCATAGTCAGCAATGTGGAGAATTGAACGTGGCGCACTGGGCGGGATCGGGGTGTCGTTGGTGGATAATAACGGCAAACCTGAGATCATTTATCTGCAGTCCGGCGCCGTGTGGATGGGCCGGAAGATCGGCGCAAAGAAATTTAAACCCTTGAATTTAGGTGATATTTTTGTACGAACTTTAAGGGTTATTTTCGGTGGAAAATTAGGGCGGTAATTACCCGGTGCTGCTGTTCTGTTATTTCCAGTTTTCTAATTAAATCTTTTTTTTCAGAAGTAAAGTTATTTCCTGTAATTTTTCCGGTACCCCATGAATTTTGGGAGAATATTATTACGAGAAATTTTGTATGAGCAAATCTGAGTGATTTTCGCGTTTTGCATTTGGTTGGTTCCAGTTTCTGGTGTGTTTTCTTATTTTAATTATTAAATTCGATTCTGCGGTGGTAATTAATGTTAATTGCGTATGAGCAGTGTACTTGCAGCGCATGATAATCGTAGTACTGTGGCTTTCGAAGTGGAGTATCAGTAGGATCAAAATTAGCCGTTGCCCGTTCAAAAAGTACCCTCGTAGTAAATTATAGATTTCTGAAACTGTTTTTTTTCTGGTGGATTTTAAGGTGAGAATTGGTTTAAATAAAAATTACAATTTTTGTTGAACTAATGCAATTCTAACAATTTATTATGGAAAATGTGCTGTACATGTACAGAGTACTGTCGTTGTGTTTTGTCAGCGGATAAGCGTAGAAATGCGGCTTGTAACGCTAGGCAAATGCGACAGATAAAATTGCCCGTTTTAAGAAGAAATGTTACAGAAATCAGTGAGAAATTTTGTTTTTTTATCAGAGAATTATTCTTTGTGTATTTTCGATACAAATTGTTAATAAAATTTGGTTTTGGTAATAAGAAAATTAAACACAGTATCAGATTTTTTCTTGTAATTTTCTTATAAAAAATACATGGAGCAGTCGCAAGTCAGATGTTTTTTACTGTAGGTGAAACGAAGCCACTGGAGGTGGCGTACACGCAATGGCAGATGCTGCGCGAGCGCGACAAATCTAAGACGCGCTCCAAAATCATCACGGTGGACGACATGGAGATCACAATGGACTAATTAAATGGCGCAAGACCCGGCGCTGATGACCAAATCGAAGAAGCGGGAGATTCAGCGCACCTATCAACCCGGCATGTGGTGCCGGGTGCGCAGTTCGGACCATCACACGCAGTTCCTTCTCAAACTGCACAAAATCCCAACAGGACAACCCCATCACTACCGGTAGAAGTATAGAACGAATGATTACTGCGGGTAAATGTCATGGTTTTGGAAAAAGCTCGCATCGGTGTTGAGTTTTGCTGGCGTGTCGAAAATAATTCATAAGCAGCCAAGTTTGCGAAAATGAAAAATAATTTCATTTTTTTGCGTTTTCATTGCGATTTTTTTATATCGCTTTGCTGTCAGATGATTTGGATAATTGCTCGATTCTGTACACAAAACATGCCAGAAAACAGCATTGTACAGATACTTTGTCTGCTTCTTATGGTTAAAGGAATTGCGAGGGAATTATAGACACAGTTCGCAATACGCTATTTAAACAACACCGCTGCTGATCCTCTGGGTTGGAATTAAACAACCAGCAGTTCGATATTCAGCTCACTAAATTATTAATGAAGTGAGATCGTCACTTGTCACAGACGTAAAGTGGGAATGTTTTCAGTAGAAGACTTGGTAGATATTTCCGCTAAACATGCCACCTGGCTGCTATCGGTCCATGCCTGATTAAGAATTCAAGCTGCCAGTCATCGTGCTTTGTTTCTCGTCGGCTCAACTGTCTAAATCAAGCTATGTATCTGTACAGCTGTAAACGCTCGGTGTATAAGAGACAAAAATGCTGTCCACTCTGGTGAATGCTTTTAACGATGTTTTCCCGATCGAGGATCAATGTGCCACATTTGTTAACCACAATTGTTGCGGCTGCATCGACTCACGCAGCAGCATAAATGGTTTACTCAAACTGGCTGGTTATTAAACTTTAGGATTGTTATGCGTTAGGCTTATTATACAGAATACAGATACATACGTTCGGGTTATTAATAATTATCACTTGTTCGGGTATGTTATCACTTGTTCTTTGAGTTTCAGTGCTTTTTTCGAAATTATAGCGTGATCTCTGGTACGCCCATCGGTCAATCATCGAACTGTATAACCTCCACAATAATTTTACTGACCCAAAGCGACTGCTGTCTGCCATCGATTCAGCGCACAATATTTCTCAGCATTAATACACGGTGAGAAAATATTTGTAATATCACGCCGACCGGTGAAAATAGTCGAGAGGCAATAATTCCTTGAACATGTAGCAAAATACATTTGCAATATTACGAGTTCGTTTACTCGTATGTTCTGCCTTTCAAAACTGCTGTAAACTATTGGAAACGAAAAGCAAGTACCAATTTACTGGTTTTCAGTTAAACCCCAGAGAATTTCTATCTTTAAAATGTTTTCTGCACAATTTTGTTTCCCTTTTGACCATGCTTACCTTTCTCACTTTTAACATTCGCCAGCTCGGTCCAGTTGCTGCCGGTGCATCTATACTAAACAGTTACTTTGGGAATTACGCCGACTGTTCACTTTTTCACATACACTGACTTGAGCAACGTGCTGCTAGTATAGCGGAAGTATGAAGAACGAAAACAGACTCGTAAGTATTCGACCATGTAATTCCTTTTGTAACGGTTATATGGGCCGCAATCGCCGGTGGTACATTTCGCTGGCGTGCCGAAAATAATTTAGAAACGGCCACGTTTGCGACTGTATCTAATAATTTCGTGTTTATTGCGATCCTTTATATTGCTTCATGCCGCTCGTTTCCGGCCACAAAAACTATGAGAAAATAGGGTTCAGTTAAAAGACTTAAAAAGCCAGGTATGAAAGCAATTTTAGGCCTTTTAAACAGGCTTGGGCTTATATAGAAAGTATTTTTGAGCAGCAATTCGCAGTCCACACTGGAATATAATAACATCCCAATTTTCTGGCAGAGCCAAGGAAATAAGTTGAAATAGCGGTGAATCCGGTTCGTGCGTCGTTTTTCTACGACAAACTTTCCATTTAAACTTTGGTAGATAGTATTTCCAGTTTTTATTCTATACTTTTCCAGCATGTATTATGCACGAGAGCTTCGATTTCAACTAAATGAAAAATAAAAGCGTTGTGAACGCGAATGAGACTTTCGTATGAAAACTGAGTACACTACAGCCATTTTTAAACTAATAATTTAGAAACTGTCTAATGTTGTATTTAAGTCACGGTATTTAAGTCACGGTAATTAAGTCCTTACTTATTTACAGAAAACAAACCTTTGACATTGTCCGGTGACACACAAATATGCTATCTAGTCACGCACCAAGATTTTTTTCCTGCCGTTTCATTGCACTACAGCCGTGTGAGCAGATAAAACGCTTCCCTGTTGACATTTTAGCGCACGTGATCAAAGCGTATTTTGTTGCGATAGGAAGTTTTACCTCAAGAGTCAAGAGCAAACCGGGCGGTTTACAAATGGGTCAGTCGCGAGCGATTTTGACATGTCTGTGACTCTGTACTCTGTTTTATGTGTTTCAGTAGACCACCTGGATGGAAATGTAAATAATACAATGCGGAAAATGACACAGTAACGTTTGTATGTAGAACGTATACAGTGTAGCGTCTGGATAATGCTTGTGCTTTCTGATTCTTCCTAAGTGCAGCTACCAACTATAACCGACAATTAGTCTGCTATCAGCTTTTATAATGTGCTGATATTTATCTCGCTATAGGTTATAAGTAGAATTTTGGTTAACCGCCAGGCAGTTCGCGTCGTCAAATTTGTACCTTCAACGGACAGAAGCATTGGGCTAGCTGGACACGCAGCCATGAGCATCGGTCTACTGCGGCACCCTTGTAATGACCTCCACACGACAACCCCAGTTAGTAGTTCTACGTATGTTTGCTGTTTACGTGTGTACCCATTTAGAGCTAGAAGGACCACGCTTTGCAGAGGTATAGCAAACACCACTTGGGAGTGGCCATTGGATTCCGCGAGGTCTCGGTGGCGGTCTTCGCCCACGGACAACGACGCGTCCTGTTCGCTTTTCGCGCAGTGGCCGCCGGCGGCGTTGGCCTCACCCCATGGATTTTTGGTGACGAAGCGGTTAACCACCAAGCCGACGCCGGCTGCCGACCGCCCGTCTCCATCAAACGTCTGCTGCTAGAGTTCACTTACGGTGTGGCGAAGTCGGATGTAGTGATATCTGAGATGTTAGCTAAGCTGTTCGCCTACATCCTGAATGCCCTGAAAATCAAGCGCCGGAAGAGTCTCCGCTGCGTGGTAATGGTGCTGTCGCATGGTCTCCATGCTGTCACCGTTATCCGGCAAGCGGTGGTGGACGGGTGGCGGAACAACGGAGTTCAGAATGTCTTTTGCATCCTGGACACCACGGCCGCTTTGCTGACGTACACCTTACTGGCGCTGAAACAAGAATCCGATGGTCAAAGCGCCACCGAGGGTGATTTGGACGATCCCGAATTATTTGGGGCGGCGGTTGCTAGCAGTTTGGCGAGAAACACATATGTCGACCGACAGGTGCTTTTTCGACTGCAAGAAGGACTGGCCGTGGACATGAGAAAAGCACTGGAAAATCTGCTGCGGGAGGATTCCGCCGTTTTGGCTCAGCCGGTGCGGGATGTCGTCGACATTAATCGGCCGGACGCTGTACTGTACGGTGACTTGTTTATGGGTATGCTAGAGCCGGCCGTTGCGGGCGTCGGGAATGGTCGTCCCGGTTGGCGTCTGCTACTGTCCGTGCACGAGATCAACCGCTGCAAAGTGCACTGTGTCCAACTGGAACATCTATCGCAGGAAGACGGCCAGCCTGTGGAGTTTATGTGTATGATGCTGGACGCCAATGTGCGGATCCAGTGGCGTGAATGGCGGGACGGCTACACCTACGAGCATCTGCAGCTGCAGGTATTCTTCAAAACCCGGTACGCCGTTGGCCACACCACGTTATTTTTTGCGTCCAACGAGGCCAATAAATATGGGGCGTTTATGGGGGAATATGAAGCGCGACGAACTGAAATGCTCCGTGTATTTCCTTCTGGCACTTACGGTAATTACGAAAAAAGAATCCGTTCCTGGTCGGCTTAATCAGTACATGAAGTATACGAGTACAATAATATAATATGTTTTATGTATATATACAGTACATTTGCATGCGTGGGTTTTTTTAGCTTTGCACGGTTGCTACAAGTATTTTTTTAAGGGATTTGGCCCGGTGCACAGTACCAAATTTGGGTACACACACGGGAACTTTCGCTGTCGCGCACTCCTAAACACTTTTTTCCATTGCTTTATGACATTTTGTACCCAGAGGATTTGTTTGCGTAGGCGTGAAATCCGTTGTGCGCGCAACATCCGGTTCGGGAGTTATTAGTGAAATAAAATTCCGAAAGTTTAAACGCGCGGAGGTGCATGCACCAAATGTCTCGTTATGAACCGATGCTCTTAAAATTTTGCGTGAAAACGCACATTACTATGAAGATCGTTTTGGTACCGAACCAGTTTTCTACCATTTTTTTTCAAATTTTAAATAAATTTTCAAAATTAAACGGTTTTTTCACCTATGTATACGAAACATTTGGCTACAAAATATCATAAAGCAATGCAAAAAAGTGTTTGGGAGGGCGCGACAGCGGAAGTTGCCGTGGATATATACAAATTTGGTGCTATGTACCGGGCCAAATCCCTTAAAACTCCACATAAATTAAATCAGTACTTCGATGCTTAAGTAATGCATTGTTTAAGGGAAGTGGGCCGGTACATGGTACCAAATTCGTGTACATGCACGAAAACTTACACTTTCGCGCACTCCCAAACACATTTTTGTTTCGGTTTATGACTTTCTGTAGCCCGAAGATTTGTATACACTGGTGTGAAAACCGTATGTGCGCGCAACATCCGGTTCGGGAGTTATGGCTCATAGAAAATACCAAAAAGTTTAAATGCGTTTAGGTGTACCAGAAGTCTCATTATGGACCGATCTTCCTCAAATTTTGCACGCAAATGCACATAACCATGAAGCTCGTTTTTATACCGATCCAGACTTCCATGGTTTTTTTCAGATTTTAAAATGAATTTTAAACTTTTTGAAATTCATTTTAAAATTTGAAAAACATGATAGAACAGTGGATCGGTGTAAAAACGTTCTTCGTGGGTATGTGTATTTACGTGCAAAATTTGAGGAAGATCGGTCCATAATGAGACTTCTGGTACACCTAAACGCATTTAAACTTTTTGGTATTTTCTATGAGCCATAACTCCCGAACCGGATGTTGCGCGCACATACGGTTTTCACACCAGTGTATACAAATCTTCGGGCTACAGAAAGTCATAAACCGAAACAAAAATGTGTTTGGCAGTGCGCGAAAGTGTAAGTTTTCGTGCATGTACACGAATTTGGTAACATGTACCGGCCCACTTCCCTTAAGAAATGCAAAAACTGAACAACGAAATACACAAAAAATACAAAAATATTTTTCGTGGGACAATTTGTTTGTGTAATAATAATTCTGCGCCCAGTAACTTTAATATGTGGTAAGCCGACATATTAATTGTACGGTTTATTCATATACTTTTTTTAGCGAAAAGATTTCTGAGTCTGAAGCGCCCTGCGCATACGCGTATATGGCTTTCCTTTCCGGCCCGGAAAAAGCCGAGACATACCATGAAAATCCGCAGAATAATTGGACATTTTCCTGGATCATCACCGTACATCGCTGCGCTGATCGGGGTTTGGTGATTATCGCTCAGCTAAGCAAGCAATGCGACGACAAGCAGTATATGAATTCGTTCACAATTACACGACCGGAGATAAGTAAAGCGTCAGACCAAGCAGATACGGTGGTTATTTTCTTAAGAAATCCGCTGCAGCCAAATACAAATTATGCATTTGGTCGGCTCAGCTTTTCTGATGCAGCCACGTGTCAGGACTTTCTTCAAAAGTGTGAATAATATCTTTAACGACTCAGAACTGACTTTGGCGCAGCAGAAGGTATATGTATCTGCGGCTTTTTAGCATTCATAGCCTTAGGGTTTATCTGGTTTTTGTGCAAGTTTTATTCATTTTAGCCGGAAACAGCGGTTTCCTGAGTACGTACGTACTTTTACTGATCCGATGATCCGCATCGGTTTTACTAATGTATGGTTACCAAACAGCAGTGGTTGTCCTGTCTACTTACGCATATGCGGCAAAATATCAAGTCTTACGCTGCATAAACCAGAACATAAACCAATATTTTACAGTATAACAAAGAAGAACATCAGCCTTGCCTTATTCTGCGCAGCGCAAACTTGCACCTTTTATGACTGAACAGTTACGAATTTTGTTTGAGTCGATCGTGTTATGTTATCGGAGTCGAAAGATGTGTAAAATAGAGCCGCTTTGCTGAAACAGTAACAAGTACATGGTTTTGAAGTGATGTACCAGAAACACAGCGTCGCGCACAATTACTTAGACGTATGTCGATACTCAATGGTAATGTATCTGTACAAGCTTGTCTGGTAATTTCTGACGATTCGGTACAGCGATTTACACAAATTTGCGTGTTACGCCAAACTTCACACTACGGCGCGCCACGCCACACTTTTTAAACACGTAGCTTGCATGTCGCTGGCTGGTAGCTTGGTACACGCCATATAATTAATAAGAATAATAGTAACTGCCTGGCAGAAGGTGAGCCACCTAGAAAATGGTCGGTGCAGTAAGCGACAATCTGACTGCGGAGCGCACTTAAGGAATTTGATAAACGTAGTGAAGTGGCCATCGTTATAAGCGCAAAATTCGCGCTAGCTGTACCTTTACGTAGGAAATTACCGGACAAGCTTGTACGAGTACGAATAATGGTAAGTTAAAAAATTAATTATGCAGGGGAATTCAACTGCTGTGGTCGCCAGAGCGGGCCACATAAGAGTGTTGTATAATTGCACTCCTACATGATGATCTCGAATACATGCATGTACACGATACATGATACACGTACATGATGCATGTACATGTATACTATAAGGGGAAAAACTAGTCTACCCGAACCAACTCCTTGTACTGCTGTTTTATGTTGTGGCCAAACATGGCGGTTATGTACCGCGCCTGATTTAACCGTATTTATTCCCGTAACGTAACACTCCAGACGGGTGCCGCGGCATCAAGTACAGGGAGTGCCGCAGCAGTTAAATCCCCCTATAATTATGACTCTGTCATCCGGTGCAGTGCGCTACACGCTTACCGAATACTGAATATGAGAGCGTGTGGCGTTTAATCTTAAATACATATATTTGTTGCCTGTAGGTACTTATTTACTGCGATTGCGATAAGTTGCTGCCATGTGAAACTCGCTGATCGAAAAGCTTGCTTTAATTATGTTCGGTCGATGTCCTTACCCATCTAATAGAAATACAAATAAGTTATAACTCACAAGAAACACTTGACATTAAGGCCTATAAGCACGCTGCACGCAGTACTAGGTATACTAGGTACTACGCCCCATCCGTGCAATGCAACAGCTTAAACTTATTATCTTCGCGGATGCTTGCTTGTACTTGTACGGTACTTGATTATGTATGTGATGCTTTGATCTACAAGCTTCGAACTGTTCATCGCAAACGCGGTCTACTTGGTTTGGTTCAAAGCGAAACTTCCGGTGCGCCAGTCGGTCAAATTCAGGTTGAATAATTTAAGTAACAGTAATTGAAAGTCCTAATAATTTCTCTGAGAAGATAGTAGCGTCACTGTCTGACTTCCACCCAGTGCAAAAAGTTTCCCAGCATTAACGTATCGTGCGAACACATTATGCGAGACATGCGGAAACAGTCTATACATAACGAGAGCCAGAAAAACAGCAGCATGCGTTTAACTCATGTCATTCTTTTATCAGAATATATTTCAGATTGCACGGTCTGTGCTCCATTCGGCTCCGGTTCCATATGGAGCCTTCGGTTCCGGGTTGTTTTACGTCCGTTCGCGACGTTAGCAGCTGTAACCTAGCGTCGTGCGGTGACGCGTAAAAACTATCTGCCTGCAACGGCCTGATGTTTGCAACGGCTCAGACACATGAGTGAATGGCAGGCTAGCGTATGCTGCTCGTTGACCTTTTTTGAGCAGTCAGACCGCCGACCGTTAGCAGGGTGCTCACGCTCTCGCGCGCACTCGACTCGATTAATTTTTTCGTTGCTGTACGTGACCAAAATGTAACCGCACAAAGATCTGAAGCAGTTTTCATCCTCCCAACGCACTGCTTATCTGACGCCGTGCGATTCTACTCGTATATACGGAGCCTCTACCGTATGCAGTCTGAAATAGGCTAATATTATTGCTTTTTGACGTTGCTAGCAAGCAAAGGCTATGCAGAAAATCTGCGAACAAGAGCAACTCTTCAGTAAAGTACTGCATACAGCTTAGGACGTTACGTTCACTTCAGCTTAGGACTAAAAAGACGCATAATCCCATCCACAGAATTCCGAACGCTCGTGGCAAGTGCACTTGTACCACAACCGGATATTTTAGCTCAGTCGTACAGCGCACTGCGCCGCATGCTTTCGGAATACTGTGGGTGGGATTATGCGTCTTTTTTGTCCTAAGGTGTATGTCAGCCATTTCATAATCGTACTGCGGGTAAATGTTATATATGTTTTTGAAAACAGCTTCCCATCAGTGTTGCGTTTTGCTGGCGTGTCGAAAATGCTTCATAGGCAGCCAAGATTGCCCAAATAAAATGTATTTCTATGTTTTTCTTTTTTTCGATTTTTTATATCGCCCTGTTGCCAGAAATTAGGATAATTACTCGATTCCGTGCACAAAACATGCGAGAAAACAGCGTTGCACTTAAGGGAGTCAACAGGCGATATCAGGGAAAGTCACTCGTTCCTCATTTTCATAAATTTATTATAGTTTCCTGCATAGAAATTTTGTTTTAAAATGGGCTTTATCTAATGTCCATTCCCCTCAGTCATCACCGTGGCATATTTTCGCTAAGCAGGAATTTTTTTTTTGGCACAGAGGAACTTCTATGGTACGGAATAAGCACCAAACCGAGTAGCGTACAACTTGACTCTCTCGGTCAGGTAAACACATATCAGCCGCATTTCATCGTACGCCATCAGTAAGTGGGACAGATCAGCCGAATGCCAATCTCCATATCGCCGAATAAGGAACCTTGGCTTCGCCGCGAAGACTGTGTACATTTTTCGAAGGTCCAATATCACGCTCAGCGACTGTAAAGATAAGTATATATAGGCATATACTATGAGGTGCATACTGTACACTATAAAGATACAATCAAGCTCCGTGGGAACTCGCGGCAAAATATGGCTGATTGTAATCTTACTGCAATTTTAGAGGCCTAAGTAGAAGGCGCAGACTGTAGATGCAGTTAAGTCCTGTTTCCCTGTTGCGAAATGCGACTTAGCATACTTCGCCTTGCCCATTATTTCAATCAGTACCGCTTTAGGGATCAATATATTAATCACTTTACCGAATCGAGAGCCTCTGTGGCGGGCGGCCACATGAACAACCACGGCTGACTGAAATGCAGTCTATGTATATCACCATTCAGTCTATGCAGCCTACGCGCTTATCAGTGTGCAATCTATGCAGTAAAGACCAGCAATGCATCTATGCAGTAGAAGTGATTAATATATTGATCCCTAAAGCGGTACTGATTAAAATAATGGACCAAGCGAAGTAATGTTAGTGGCTGATTTCTTAAGCCCGTTCATGAATAATGCGCCATATCCTAGGCTGAGTCTACTTCCAGTTCCACGAATTTGGCCGGCTCGATCAATCGGCGTCCATCGGTAGAGACTGCGGATACCCTTATCAACTCGGTAATCGCTGTTGCAGAAGCAGCCATATAAGACTGGTACCGAAAATGCATCAGGCGCAGTAATTTCAGAAAAAGAATCGTGCTTGTCTTCATGCTGAAATCGCTAGTCAGAACTATAAGGGAGGACGTGATCACGGACTGAAGTAGACGGAAAACGTCTCTGGTCAATAGAGTAGAGAATGCACATAATGCCTTTTTTAGTTTGGACCTTTATTCTTGTTGCCGGCTGTTCTACATCGCCGTTAGCGGAAACCTGCGACGAACTAAAATCACGCTGCTATGGCCTGTCACTCCAGCAAGATGAATATCGGTACGAGCTCATGCGCGAACAGTGGCCCGTGACGGATGACAAGGTTAACCAGACAGCCCAGACTGGAAAGCTGTTTTGTCGGTAAGGTCACATTGGTGCATTTGTCAGAACAACATAGGCTTCGACGTTTTTCGTACTCTGGAATTTTTCATTATGCCTATAGTCTGACGAACTGGCACTTACTTGCAGTTTGAACTATTTTGCACTCAAGTACAGCCATTCTTGACTCCGGCGCGCGCAATCAGATAAACGAGAGATTGCTGAATATAATAATATTATTAATGATAACTCATTTACTATCGTACAGCTGGCAATGTTTGTCCTGTTCGAAGAGCCGTACTGCGAAAATGACAATCTAGAGCAGGAACAAAGTCGAAATATACGTAAAAATGCCTTTTTAAAGTTGATAGTACCATGGATTAGTGTATGCTAGGTAAAGCCTTTAAAGGCATTACTTTTAACATATGAAAACTTAATTTCAAAACAAACTTCAATGTTACGGATTTGACGGATTCCTTTCCCGAGCGTTTTAGCGTAACTAATCGAACGTAATTGTGGCAAACCTTTGCAGTCTGAGCCAGGAATATGGACAGTGCCTGCTGACCATGAACCAGCGTTGTCCTGGATATACGACGCCCGAGAACGGAAACGGTTGGTTCGGGGCAACATGGGAGAAATTTATGGGCAAGCTTTGCGACACGCCCTTCCCTCCTCAACGCTACATACCTGTCGTGTACGGACAATGTTACGCACAAAATGCCGATATTGTTCCCTCACTCGTGCTGTCACCCACGTCGCCATATGTCCTGCAGTCTATCAGCGCTTCTTCTGCTCAGGAAAACGCTTGCAGGTCGGTAACCGGTATTTCTTCAGACGATTCTGTGGAACACCTTCATCTGCTAGTCAATTTGGTTTGTAGTGCGATGTCAGACATGCAAGCGCATATGAACGGCACAGCGGCAGCCATTGCCCGAAAGTGTGACCAGGAAGCCGCACGAGTTCTGGTGGAAGGAACCAGATATCTTCATCAAATTAATTGCCCGGGATAAAGTTTCACTAACTATTATAGCTGGTGTAATCACAAATATAGTGTAATCTAATTAATAACGGGTCTTATTGCAAATGTGGCACATCGCGGTTTCGTCTGTGTCTTATCAGTATAGCGGCCCTATACTAGAGTGGATACCAATTACATCAAATAAATGCTCTATACGAGTATCTGGGTAAAACACTACTATTGCATAAATAAGTAGTGCGCAGCGTTGTAAGTCTCTATAGTACAGCCCTGGGCAGCCAAGTTGGGGCAGTTTCTTCCAAAAATTACTGCGTGTCTGCTGTTAATAAATAAATAAATATTTATTTTTTACTTTATTGCCGAAGGTGTCCGGCATCTTTTGAACTGTACGTATCCATGTTTAGAACGTGCCTGAAATCGCAGTGAGCTGAAAACCAAGGCAGACCAGCAGAAAAATACCGCTAAACTCGTATGTTGTGACGGTTTTCCTCGCACTTAATACTTTTTTTAAATTCCACTAAGGCTGTAGTGTTAAGATGATAAACCATACTTGTTTACCATCCAATTCTACTAAGGGAGGTGCATGACAACAGTCGATTTCAGTCAAGCCTCAATGACCTTTGCAGTGCGTTGGCGAGCACTGCTAAAATGAGGCGTGACCTTATTTCAAAGCTCGGCGCGCACCCGCAGAATGCCAGAGAATGCCCTTTTTGTTAAAATTTCACTCCCAGAGCGTTAAGCGTCAGTTTCAGGTTTTTAATCCATGTAACAAGCCGAATACAGTCGGCTCAACCAACCTTCAACAGCCACCATAACTTTTTTGTTGCAACAGCTTTGCTGTTTTTTTTTCTTCCACTCTTCTGGAAATCCCACCTCCCCGTCTACGAGGCGGGTATTCCTTTGCACATGAAAATCAACTAACAGGACGTACAACTTATTCACTGAAAGTAATAGCTTTAGGTTATTTCAATCTGTGCGCTAGGCAACCACAATCTTCGGTAGGCCGTTTTTAACATACAAGTCTATGGGAGATGCCCCTTGTTGCAACGCTAAGCCGACCACTGATCACGCAACATTTTGGTTCTCTCCCGTGGCAAATACCTTTGGGGTCACCCAACAGTCAGCAGAAAAGCTCACACGAAAATATGGATTGGGGAATTTACTAGAGCGGCAGATGTAAGCATCCCAAAAAGGACTGCTACCTCTCCCCCTAAATCAATGCTCGGCTCGTTACTGAGCGATCAGAAGAGCCCGATTTTAGTATTTTTGGATTTGCGATAAAAAATTACATGGCATAAGTAGAAATATAAGAACAGAACAACGCCTACAAATATTTGCCAATTGTTTTTACAAAAGTGCCCCAACTTGGCTGCCCAGGGCTGTATTCCCGTGTTCGTGGAATTAACATATGAGGTTCATCTCTGGTGAACCACAGCGGCAGACACCGATGTAAGTGATAAATAATTATTTCACCCTTCTTTGCATCCCCTGTTCCTGACAACAATTCTTTGTACCAGAAATGCGTTGGAACTATAAGGCGGGAGGCGCAATTTCCTTCTAGAGACGACAGATTACGGTAGTCAGAATAGACGACAGATTTATTCTGAGCAAGCGTATACAGTCTGTATGTATACGTAAAACTAAAAGGCACGTCAATCCATCGTCTTATTAACAAAAAAATGCGACACCTGAGTTTTTCTCATCTTGCAACACCTACATTTAGTGCACACGGTACGTATACAGTATAATGGTCTTCCAATGTGCTAATAAAACGGCCAGCAGCTTGAGCCAGAAGCATCGATTCAGGGCTAGAGGACACTAACAAAAACCTACAAAGTATACTAGTGCACTACAAAGTATATAGAAGGCACGAACAAATACCTGCCAAAAATATTTTACAGTCCCGCGAAACGACTAAGAAGTGCCAGCACTATCATTGCCCATAGTTTGTCTTATTCACTATTCAATTTTCTGAACTTTCAGATAGGCTAATTCAATGGTATATGGCGGGGAGATTTTGTTGTTACCTCCATAAAGCTAATTCACATAACCTTTATCTGCGCAGTCTTTAAAATAACCACTTCCAGTATAAATTTTTTTTTATTACCACCACTGTTATACTTTTTATAAAACTATTGTTTATGTATTTTGTCTCGGTATTAAACACTTGGCACAATGCATGGTGTGCCCTTGCCAGAAGTTGGGGAATAAAGGTGCTTGCTTGCATGTATCAAGTTTAACGAGAATTGGGCAGCCGGTTAAAGGATGCTACCGAAGAACGGCGCCCCTACGAGTTTCTGCTTCGGCGTATTAGCACTGAAATGCAGCGGTGGGATGTGCTGTCTGTGACTTCAACTGTACCGCGTTTTGACGGTTTTAACGCTTTTTATTGGGATTTATGATGCTGGTGTTTTAAACTTCCGAACAATAAGCAAACCAATAAATTACAAATTTTTTATGCTCCTTATAACTGCTATTAGTATCACGAATTTCTATCGGTTTAATTTTTTATCAGCTATGTAGTGTTTTACGCATCACATTTAGACCGTCTTCACGTGGAGCGAACAATGCATCTTCGCGCTGTATTTCAATGCTCCATGCTGCGAATGGTCGTGTTGCAAAAATAGATCACCCTAATCCGAGGGGATGTCGAGGGCATACAGGAAATGACCACACGTTATGCCATTATTTCCCTGAGATCAAGGAAAGGCGCTCGGAATCGACGTTCCGTGCACCGACACGTTGGGTGCCGCATTATCGATTATCGAGCGCACCACCGCTCCTGCCGTATCCGTCGCAGAAAGTGCAGAAGGCGTGAAGCGAATGTAGCACGGCCTACTGCGAGGTATACCTCCATCCGGCTGCGTTCGACGTACACATCCTAAGGGGTGAAGGCGAACACTTGCATTGGACCGTACCGCTGTCACAACATAAGATTGTTGGACTGAGTTCTTCACCTGCGTGCGCACCTACGGTGCTGTGTGTAAGAGCCCTAATTAAAGGTCAACGATGACCATTACCTATACAGATTACAAACGAACCAAATAACAAGGAGTGTACGACCTTTTATTAAACCATTGCCCACTACAGTATACTTATTTATTGCTACTTCCCCGGCTGTACATTTATTGGTTTTTTGAAACCGTTTGGTCCAGATGTTCATTGGGCAATGCAAACACAAAAACTTGTGCTAATACGCACCCACATTAAGTGCAACAACCACAAAAACTTTGCGGACTGAAAATGGTGCCGAAGTACAGTTGTAGGTTAAGAATCCTTATTTCGCGCTGTACATCTTACATCCGTCTTCACTCTATTCATGCGTTTACGATATGATCGTATTATGACCCGGTTTATTTCTTCTGACTTACCAGGGCAGCGTCACCGGCCCCCCTCTCAGAAAAATTTCGTTTTTTGCAGGGTTGCAGAGTAACACTAGGGTATGCTTAAAAAATACAATTTATTGGCAATATCCGCCCAAATAACAAAAAATGCACGCGCTGACACCCTACGTAATCGTTAGAATTTAAACATTAAAAAAACAACCAAATTCCCGGTCCTCCCTCGGGTTAAAAGGTAACGTGCTCAAAACAGCCGTAGCATTTCCCTTAACAACAGCAAGGCTGAATCGCTGCTTAAGAAAAGCAGTAGAACGTGCTTCTCCAGTCAAATCCCGAATTTTCCGACCCATAAAATGTAAAAATTCACTTAAAGCCGGACCAAAAACTCCAAGGGTTTCCATTACTAGAGGATAAAAAAGGTATCCGTATTCCAAAAACGAATACTTCCCACGCTTCGCATTTTCAGCCAGCTGGGCCACGCTGCCACATTTCTTGGAGCTTCCAGTGGCATGAGAGTCAGCAACCGTACACCAGCTGGTTACATCCCAAACGATCGGTTTTCCTTGTCTTACTGGTATCAGTGTCATCCCATCCGGTCTTTGTGCGGTGGTTGATGACAAGCCGTTTGGTTCCATCTCACAAGGAAAACCAGCGCTTTCACAACAGTTTTTCGCGATGCTGTTCATTTCTTTATGTCTCGCCCATCGTCCTTTAGTCGTTTTGTTGCAGGATAGTCCATGATGGCCGTTGCTTTCGACCTGTTTACCACATGCGTTGCAGTTGTGCGCCACCACTACTGGTAAACCAAATCGCAAACCAACACCGATACGTACATCTTCATCCTTCAGGAATGTCCCCAAACAAGGTGCGGGTAACGCATTCAGCCAGGCTCCCGAATCTCTGTTTAAAGCTGACAGCAAAACCGCCCTGGCGCGCTCATTACCTTCGGTAGACGACATTAATGTGGATATGTCCCGTTCGATCACTGGCGTGTCCCAGGCGTACTGAAACTTCCGAACACATTCCGGTGGAATTTCGCAATGCGTCTGTTGGATCCAAGATTCCACAGCGGTTTTCGTCAGGCACTCTTCAGAAGGCTGGTAGAATTTGGAAACCATAGGCAGCACAGAGTACACCGATGCCAAGTAAGCACAAACAGCTAATGTCTCTATGCGTCGTGTCCCCAAACCACCACGCCGTACTGGAAGAGATATCTGAGTCCACTGCGCTTCGGAAATCTTCACGTTGACCAACTGCTCCACCCCCACCCGTAGACAGCTATCGTATTCTTTCAGCAAGTCCGGGTGTTCAAAACCACGGGAACTGCGCAGTCCGTACAAAACCTTAGGAACGCTGAGGCAATTTTTAAGGAGAAACAAACTGTAGTGTGCCGGTAATTTCTTCAATCGTTGAACGAAATTCTTTAGTTCTGCCGTTTTCCCATTTAAAAATCTCGCGCACGCTGGGAAGGTCATCGGAGCTCCCAACAGGGTGAAGTTTTCAGGACTGAGCTGTATCATATCCGGCCAAGTGCTTAATAATGTTGCACGGATCACGGACTCATCTGCATCACATGTCACGATGGGAAAGAATTCGCACTTGCTGAAGTTTAATTCTAAACCCATTTTCGCGGCCCGTTCTTCAATTTGCTTTATGGCGGCCATTACTTTCTCAACTGTGTCAGCCATTGTCACATCATCAAGGAAGGCCAGAAGCAGTTCGCAATCTAAATCATCGAAAAGCGGTAGCGTGGCTAGGCTGTACCCAAAGGGACCCGACGGATCACCCTGTTGCACTCCGCGGGCGGACGTCAGCGTTTCTTCACCACAAACCAAATGGCTGCTGTAGCGGTAGGATTGCCAGAAATAA